TAAAAACAAAATCCCCCTGCAAGATTTGAACAGCAGACCTTCTCACTGTCGGCAGAAGACAGTAGAAGGAGTTAACCACTACACTAGGAAGACCATACCAGAGGTCCCCAATCAGACTGTCATTAGATGTCTTCCATGCTTTCATGCCCTCATGGTAAGTACTGCATATGTATTAACTCACTTGTCATTTCTAGTCATCTTTCATCATGTTTTTTTTTATATAGATTAATTTATTGAAACAGATCAATTTCTGAATCATCTATGGATAGTGGTTTGGCCACAGGACCTGAAGAGGCAAAATAAAAAAGCAGAGAAGGTTTAGGTCATTACAAGGCTAACATTGTATCCATGTGTTCAAAGTAATATATCCTTCCTGGTGTAGTGGTTAATGCCTTTGATTCTGCTGGCGAAAAGTCAAGAGGTCTGGTGTTCGAATCCCTTGGGTGGATTTGTTTTTGCACTTGGACAGGACTTAAGTGCTTGGGGACTTAGGTGTTATGGGACTTAAGCTCCAAAGGCTGGGGTCCTTCCATATACAGGTGAACCACATGCAGGGCAGAACTTAAGTTCGGTGGGACTTAAGTTCTGCTGTGGTTCAGACCGGCATGAACTTAAGTTGAGCTCCTTCAATTTCATGAGCACGACATCCGCGCCGAGCTCGCGCACCAGCGCGTGCATGCGCGGCGAGGCGGTCGCGACGACGCGGATCCCTGCGAGGCGCGCGAGTTGCACCGCGTAGAGGCCGACCGAGGTGCTCGCGCCGTTGATGAGCACGACGGGCTGTTCCGTTCCTTTCTGCTGCCTCAGCCGCTTTGGCTTCGTCACCCTCGAGGGCGGACAGCGGCTCCGGCAGGCCCAGCCTTAGAAACAGCCCCATCATGGCCGTGGCGAACCCAACGCCCAGCGAGGCGGCCGCCTCGTCTGTGACGTTATCCGGCACCGCGGCCACCGTGGTCGCGTCAGACACGAGGTACTCGGCGAACGCGCCCCGCGTCAGGTCGAGGGCGCCGTCCATGACGAAGCCGGCGACGCGCTGGCCGGGCTTCCGGAGGGACGAGCCGGCGGGGGTGCGCGACCACGGTGCCGGCAAAGTCGCACCCGATGACGCGCCCCACGGGCATCGTGATAGTCGGGATGCCGCCGTACAGGCGGAACCAGTCGATCGGGTTTTGGCCGACGTGTGAGACGCGCACGAGGATCTCGGATGGAGAAGTCCGGGCGGGGGATCGGGTGGTTGTCGACCACGGCGGCGGAGATGCCTTGGGCAGTGATGATAAAGGCTTTCATTGCTGGGGCTAAGACTTGGATTCAATTACTTTACGAATCTTGAAATCATGGAAGACTTAAGTAGGCTGGCTAAGGATAGTCATGACTTCTCGTGAGTAACTCGAGAAGTGGTGAGCAGTAAGCAGCTGTAAGCAGACGGTCGCAGAAGCGGTGGACGGGGTGAAGCGGCTTATCACCAAAAAGGGATAAGCCACGCTTGAGCCACGCCCACGTGCCTGCCGTGGACACCGGGTTAAGTAAGCCCGAAATGCTGCAAACAGGTTCACCTTCAACGCAACAGTTTGACTAGTCACGCTCCCTCCGAATCACCCGCTTCAGCTTTTGCGGCCGGCAAGCACCTCGCATGTGCAGGCAGTCGCCCGTAGGGTCCGGTGACAGTTAGTGTTTGGAGAAAATAATTAATTGTCAGGCTGGACAGTCAGGCTGACTGTCAGTTCTGACAGTTGACAGTTCTGACAATTGCGAGCTCGGCGTACAGGACTACGATGCAAAGTTACTGCGGCGATAAGCTGAACGGAAGAAAACCTTCAATTTCATACTGGCCTGAGTGAAATTCATACCTTCAATGTGGCTAGCTGAGAGATAGTATCCTTCATGGCCGGGGGATCTGGACGGTCAATCTCAATTACATCATCGAAGTTGTCCTCAGAGTCGTCAGTTTCGTTTGTAGACTCCAACTTGGATTTCTTTCTGGGCAGTGGTGGTGGTGGATGCCGCGAAGAACACTGGTGCCGCATTTGAATCGGTGAGAAAAACAAATATTGGGTGACTCACCGTCCATCTTTTTCTCGTATCCAGTGTCCTTAGTAAATGACGGCCTTGGATCCGCGATCTTCCCTGCCGGTTTCGTAGGTTCCCGGTCACCACCACTATCTCGTGTGAGAACTGAGAGGATAATAAATAAGAAATCACGCACCACAGGTAGTCTAACTCATCTGCGATCCTCGCCAGTTTTCCCTGAGCAAGGTCAAACGGAATCTTCGTGGACTCCCAGCGAATTGACTGGAGGTATTTCACAACACAGTCCATGGATGGTTAACAAAGTTACTTAGACAAACTAACTTAGCCTTACAAAACTAACTTTACTTTACTTGTGGCAGACAAGTAAAGTAAAGTATCACAAAGTACTTGTAAGTAACTTAAGTAACTTGTAAGTAACTTGCAGATAACTTAAGTAACTTCAAGTTACATGTGTACCAGGTACCCCAGGATCTATTTCAGCTTTGTGAGGTCATGCCAAGTGCCAATTCACGCTCTCGCGACTATAGCTTGACGAACTTGGCGGGATTTGATGCCATCTGATGGCATAAGTTACTTTGTCTGATTGCATTGATCTAACTTGGCGGGGCAAGTTACTTCCAAGTAACTTGAAGTAACTTGAAGGTATTACTTGTATTTCAAGCAGATGTGATGATGTTATGTGCACATGTTTGGCAAGCTTCCTAAATTACGCTGTATTTCCCATTGACCACGCCAACAGCCAAAAATGCAGGCCTGTCCACTTCCTTTATTTTCTCGGACGGGGGCCAGCTGACCCCTCACTCATCAAGAATTAAGTTCGAGCGCCAGGGTGCGGTTAATTCTGACCTGGCTGATCATGTGTTTGCGATACCGGTAACCTCTGTCCAGGCACATTTCCCATTTTATTTTGGGGTTCTAAAACTAACCTGTGGATCAGAAATCAGCTCGGTTCAGGGGAACTGGATGCTCCATCATTAGGAGATATTCTCTTCACTCTTCTTTCTTTGTCACCCCCATCGTCTCCTCCCAGATAGCCTTCCTCCATCACTCTATTCGTCCTTTTTTATTACCCAGATGCCTCTGCAGCTCACTACAGCACTTCACGGGGTATAAAGAGACCTTGAGCGACATGTGTCTAACAAAGTACTCGGTAATCAACCTAAGGGAGATGAGTACGGTATTTCTGCTTCATTTCATGAGCTCGAGGGGCTTTGTAACAAAGTGCCTCACGGAAATGCTTTTATGTGGTAAGCACACTTTTTCCCAAGCCCAATCGCACTCGGCTCGCAACCCTAGCCACCATATGCAACTCGGTCCAACCATGATGCATTTCATAAAGGCTAAGTCTCCCGCCGTACAAACAGACAATGTTCATCAGGGCAAGTGTCGCCGCTTCCCGGATTGCATTGATGATTCGCTAACGTGACCATTATTCGTATCTTTGCTCCCTGCCTCGGATAAAATTACATGTTCAACTGGTATGTGTTGAAAACTGATCAATCTGCATGTACTCATTCTCAACCTTCCTATAAACAGAGTCTTCTCCAATGTGAGCAGTTTCCATATTCATCCCGAGGTCTTGATCTATTGATGCCGCCTGTCTTCATACGCAAACAAGATGAGGACTCGACCGACAACGTGGGAAGGGCCGAGTCGGAGTAGATGGACCTCTCAGCAGTGAGTTCGGTTATTTGATTAATATATATCACTCAACGCCCTTCCTATTGTTACGCCTGCAGGTTATGCTCCTCAAGCCTGCATCCCCGATTAGCCAAGGGTTGCATCCGGGGTCAGCCGCTAATAGACTGGCCAGACATTGTTTATCTTTCTCCCCCTCGAGCTGTTGCACTGTCCGATCCTGACAGCCTAACAAACGGGTTACGGTGATAGCCGCAGACATCATTCTGCGAATTGAGTGGTGCTTGCCTCGCTCCTCCGGCCTTTCTCTAATTAGCATGGAGTACTGAGTACGTTTCTCTTACGCCTCATATATTCATTCAGGCCGATGCCATGTACAGCTCAGTCACCGAATGTAGGGCGACAACTTCTACGCTACGCAACAGGATCCAGGGCTGCATACATGGAGAAATAAATGACCACCAGCCTAATAATTTCGTGATGTCCAGAAACCAACCACTGGCAAGACGAATCCAGACAGTTGGAAGGTATGTAATATTGGTCCATCGCTTTCTACTCGAAGTCGTACTTAATTGATCCCAACGGATTGAACACTTTCAAACAAGTGAACTTGGCGGTAAATGATGCCATCTGATGGCAAGTTACTTTGGCTGATCGCCCGTAAAGTACAGTAAAGTACCGTAAAGTTAGCCCCGCCAAGTTAAAGGGGTGATCAAAGTTAAAGTTAGGTTTGACAAGTTACTTTATTCACTCTCGATATCGACTTGATGATTGAAGGTGCTGGCAACCGTGCCGTCTTCAACTTCCAGCTCGAAGATGCGACGGGGAATATCATCTTCCTCTGTGGCAAGTGGTACGGTCTCTGGGAGAAACAACATGAGCTTCACAATTTTCTTGACCAAATCAATGATAGGTTTTGCTGTCGGCAGTTAGATAATAAGAATCATTGGCGTGCTGTGAGCAGCTGTGACACATCGGACAGAAGGTTTTGAGCCGCACTGAGGCCTACAGAGTTGTCGTCATTGGCAATACGGGAGGGAGACCTGGTGATTCCGCGCTGGGCGAGTGGGAGCTGTGGAGGTCATTCTCTGCAGTGTTGGCATTAAGGCTTAGCCCTTAACTCAAGTTAAGGGTTAAATTGGTCTTAATATTAACCCTTCACTTCAATCTTCATCGATCCTAGGCCTTAATTATTCGTTCTTTAACGAGATGGTAGAAATGCAGTGCAATATCCCCGAATGATCTTACTCCTTTGGTCTTTCTTTGATTTTCTTACGCGCTCAGGCTCAGTCGCTTTCTAAACGGCTTCGTCTCACGGTGGCCGAGATCGATCGTCAGCTACGGACTGCGCATCAAATTCGCATGAAAGCCGTTTGTCACGGCAAGTCCAGTCCGGCAACGGAGACCACGCAAGCAGCAAACCGTCTACATTTGGCCGCGCAGTTGTTTGAATTCTCTTATACAGGCCATCGTCTCTTCGGCAGCCACCCCATCGTCCATCCATGTCCTGTTTCAACATTCTGGGCTTTTTCAAGCTCAAATCTGCCGTCGAGCTTCCGTTCAGAAACCCAATAACACGCAACCAACATCTTATGCACATTACAACACAAGAGTCTGGACCCTCGCCAATACGGCAGTCTCAGCCGACCTCTGTCCTCTTTGCCAGTAGCAGCACACCACTGCTCCCCGATGACCTGTGGCCTTCGCAGTCTGTACTGCACAATCTGTTTTGGCTGGGACCAGCAATTCATTGATTCTCGATGTTTTACGTTCATCGTTCTGC